ATAAAACTCAAATGCTACATTCATACTCTCTCGTTCTCACTCAAACTCACATCCACTGCTTATTGCTCATTCCCACAAGTAGCGTGCGCCCCAGAGCAGGGATGCAGCACTTGAGTGCAATCGAGGCAGCGATGCAAAGTTGCGGAGCCATGCAGCAGGTTAGAAAGAGCGGAGGCAAAGCAGCTGAAGCAAAGCTGAGCAAAGCAGCTGAAGCAAAGCTGAGCAAAGCAGCTGAAGCAAAGCTGAAGCAAAGCAGCTGAAGCAAAGCTGAGCAAAGCAGCTGAAGAAAAGCTGAGCAAAGCAGCTGAAGAAAAGCTGAAGCGAATCAGCTGAAGAAAAGCTGAAGCGAATCAGCTGAAGTTGAGCAAAGGCAAAGCAGCAGGGCGGCGTGTGCCAGTGCCGCTGGAACACACCTATGAAAAAAAGATTAATTTAGAAAGTTACCGAAACAAGCCCTAACTAAATAACAAAAAGGAGGAAAAAAGTTAATCTTAATACATCAATCCTACCAATTCGAAGTCACAAACACGCGCGGTCCACAGCTTTAGGCCAGAGGAGGCCAGGCTGCGCTCAGAGCAGCCACTATGAATGGATGGACCGACCCGTGCCACTAGTGGTGCGTAACGCTGACCACAACCAGCTACATATAAAGTTAGAATTTGAACTGGGCATGAATTAAGTTTATTAAAATAGTTACCTTTTTTATACACGCCACAGCGCATGGGACTGCGCATCTCATAGGTTTGGGTCAAGCAGCGTGACTACAGAGGGTGGATCACATTACAAACTGTGCCCGGGCGACTTTATGAATGACATTAAAGCCTGCATGGTTGATCAACCTGTCGCTGCAGTCGAAAGCACGCTACGGGAGCCTATGGCGCATGAGGGTGTGTAGACCCAGAGGAGTGCAGACACTGAGCTGGGGAAAGATCATTTGCTTTGTAAATGTGTGTTTTAATACTGTGATGGAAGCAGTGGTTGACCTGGCGCGCAGAGGCTTTAGGTGCTTTGGGGAACCAGACAGCAGCACTGGATGCGTGGAGCTGTGACAAACACACAGCTGCAGAGGCGTGAGGGCAAAGAGGGGGCAAATGAGAGGAGGAGCGCTTATAAAGGCCTCCGGGGCGGCCCGTGGGAAATCAGGCGCACCCTCAACACTGCATGGCCTCAGAGCCGTTTTACCACATTCGTGAAAGCTGTAAGTTCACAGGACGAGCCATTTTCCTGATCCATCCATGGGAGAGGATCTGGCGGTCCTTGCTATGAACAAAGACACTGCTAACCCCGAACATGTGCCCTTCACCTTCTGTAAGGTGTGCAATGTGGAGTTCTAAACATAACATTAACAACATCATTTATGATTGAAATATTACTACAACTGGGTCTTCACTTTGTCCCTGCTCGCTCTGGGAAGACCAAATGGATGTACTAATCCCATGGAGACACTTTTCCGTCTCTTTAACCCTTTGATGCACAACATGGGTCAAAAGTGACCCGACTGAGTTTTTATGTTCTTTATCTTCGCAATGGATTAATTTCATCTTTTAGTATTCCAGGTATTCCTCAATTAACTTGTTTTTGATCTTTAAACATCCTCATTTTATGATTTGTTTTCTTACTTTTTGAATAAAAATGATTTTTGTATCACTACCCCTCTAATGCACAACATGAGTCAAAAATGACCCACATCCATTTTCTATGTAATTTCATGTATGGCTGAGTGTTGCTTTGCTACACCTTTGTAATATACATATTTTATCATTTATTACTCCATGTATACAGTAAATAACATGTTTTTATTCATCACAAATAATATTTTTTATGTTTCCTTTCTTACTCTATGAACAAGCTCAACATTTGTATACCAACATGAACTTCACACACATGCATTCACTGTGGCATTCAGTAAGAAGCTTTGAATTTGAGCACGTTTGCTTAGGAATATTTTGACAGCGGACAAGTCAATTGCAGAAGACAGTTCATCTATGGTGACTGTGTCACCATAGATGAACTGCTGGTGCCATTCCAGGGCAGGTGCAAGTTGAAGCAGTACGTATATGCCCAGCAAGCCTGTGAAGTACGGGATAAAAATCTTCTGGATGTGCGATGCAAGACTCCATTATGCAATAGATGGAATTGTCTACACAGGAAGACAGCCAGGAGAGGAGGGGCAGAAGAACCTTGGGAAGAACATTGTTCTAAAATTGTGCAGCGGAATCAGACAGACAGGTGATTATAGAATATGGAAATTAAAGCTTACATAATGTATAAGTTATAGCACATTGCTTTCCACACCCTCTCATTAGGTCGCAGCATCACAATGGACAACTTCTTCACCAGTGTCCCTCTGGCTGAGAAGCTCCTCGAGAAGAACCTAACTATTGTGGGCCTTCGCCAGAACAAGCCAGACATACCACCTATCATAAAGCCATCCAAGTCAAGGGTGATTCATAGCTAAGAATTCAGATTCAATGGCAACATGACCATGTGCAGAAGAAGGCAAAGGCTGTTATCCTCCTGAGCACAATGCATGATAACAGAGCAATGGATGAAGACAGCCAGAAGAATAAATCAGAAGTGATACAGTACTACAACAGAACAAAAGGAGGAGTGGATACAATGGAGAACATGGAGATGGCCTATGGTGCTCTGGTAAATTATGCTGGATATTGCCATGCTTGTCGCATGGAAGACACACCCACACTCCAAAAGCATATCATAGAGGCAATGGGAAGATGTGGGATCAAAAAACAAAACACAGCCACCACCTAGCCACAAGAGGACATAAGACAGGAGTGCCCAGCGAAGGAGGAAGAGGTTTGCAATCTACCCATCTGCCAAAGACAGAAGAGCCAGCAGCTGGTGTTTCCAGTGCAAGAGGCCTGTGTGCTATGAGCACAATTGTGTAGTGGTCACTTTTTCTATATTTGAGGAATCTGGAGAACTGAATTGACAAGCTGTGCTCTACCGGTGTGATCAGTTATATTTCATTTTATTTTGGTCAATGCAGCAGTTTTTTTTGTTTTTTTTTTGTTGGATGTATTTGTATGTGTTCCAATATGAAAAATAAACACGTTTCAAAGGTTAAATGTATGGTTGTTTGGCCCAAATCCCATCTAAAATAGATATTTGAAGCAAAATTGTATTATTACATGCCTTCATTTTTGTTTTAAATCGCAATTGAATAAATGGGTCATATTTGACCCATGTGTGTTATCTTGATATAGTAATACAAAAATGAATTTTGTTCAAAAAGTAAGGCAGGAAAAATATGAATACTGATGTGTGGTAATCAAAGACAAGATATTTAAAGAATACTTGGATTATTGAATTATAAAATACATTGATTTAAAAAGAAACAGCAAAGAAACGCTCAGCCTGCATGAGATAAGCTGGGAAATGAATGCGGGTCATTTTAGACCCATGTTGTGCATTAATAGGGGTGTGCGTATGTTGTGCATCAAAGGGTTAAGATGCAACATTTGACTCCAGCTGCTCAAGAACATTTCAATTCAAAATATGTTATAATATTATTGCAACAAAAGACTACGATATTAATGACCATAGGATGATCCGTATTGCAGGTTCTGTGAGCAGGACGAGGAAGTGTGATTATATTTCTGTCCACTTTTGGCTCATTTTGGATGAAGTGCACTTGTGTCATAGGCGTGAGTGCTAACCTAGATGTGTAACTAAATGTTTTTATATCAACAATTGGTTGGAGCTGTACGGGGCACTGTCTGCACCTTTCCTCACCTTCCTTCTGCCTTTCCCTCGTCACAAAGTTGCCTGAGACAACTGGGCTGCACAAGGATGTGTTTATTATCATGAAGTAAGTCATGTTTATTTATGTAGCGCATTTTTACAGCCCAAGGTCCCCCAAAGCACTTTACAATGTTCAGAGTTAAAGTGAACTGAACAACGGAAACTTTTGAATACATTTATTTTTGTAGCGTCTGTGTCAGCCTCTGTCTTATCACAGGGACCTACGTGCTTTATTCATGTGATTCCAGCTAAAGTTCAAATACTTACCACACCCTCTGGATTAGCACATATTGTTACCTGTGTTTTATTTTACTGAGTGTATTTTTTTGACTATGACTGAACAAATCAACTAAATAAACGACTACAAGTTTATGAACTGGTTGGATTTTTACGGTTTCATTGAATTATCCTCTTTTATGTGCAAGAGGTTATGTGCAAACAATGACAAGCAAACAATATTCTAAATGTTAACATTCTAGCAGGAGTGTTGTTATTAAAATAAGCTGTAATAAGGTTGTAATGTTGGGTTTTACATGTATTTTATTATTTTTTTGGTTTAGCACAAAATACACACAGTTTATTCCTAATTTTCATCAACAACAAAACACAAAAAAGTCAAAACAGAGAAAAACATATAATGATAGTTTCTACAAAAAACTTTATGCTACATATACACTGCAAACAAAAACAAAAAATGAAAATAAAAACCCTTGATTCAAGCAATTATGGCCATATATTTTGTCTTTTTTTTGCAACAACAACAGACACACTATTATTTCTACCGGTATATAGAGGTGGCAAAAACACTAGTCTTACATACGAAAAGAAACTATGGTAAATGTAATGAAATAATTACTTTTCTTAAATTGAGAAGAAAAAAATGGACTCTAAATAATTCACAATAAATATTTGAGCAAAACATTTAGCATTTTTTATGTAGCACAATAACTGTCCTTAGAAAAGACAGATGTATTTGTCATGAAAGCCACTCTATAAATATCATGCATCATCACTTCTCCCATGTGGACATTGAACCAACTTTCTCCTGTCGCTTTGTTGTTTACATTCTGTGTTTTTATCTGAATAAAAATACCAATTTTTTTCAATGTAATGAGCAGAAAATGCAGAGAACTGTTTCAAAAGCAAGAAAGAGTTGTCAAAGAAATAAATACAAAACATGTTTATCGACTTGCCACCTCTGTTTATATGTGACCATTCTTTAGCAGAATTACTTTTTAGCGACGCATACAGATAAAGTTGTATTTGTCCATAAAATTCTTCTTGACCCACTTTTTGTCTCCTCCTCTCTCCACAGCTGCAACATGACCACACTCGCTGCCTCCACGTTCCTTCCAGTTCTCGTTGGTCTCAGGGACGTACTTGCCGTCGACCCAGACCCAAGCCTCGAAGAAGCAGGCGAAATGCAGCCCTATCCACACAAACTCACTGTTGGCGTCTCTGATGTCAGCCTGGACCTCTTGCTTCAATGATTCGATGTCGATGGACCAGGCCAAGTCGCGGTAGTTGTGTCTGCAGTGGATCAAAGCCTCCTCCCAGGTTTTATTCTCCTTCACCAGGACAAACGAGCCTGAGCGAGCAAACACACAGTTTAATGGCATCATGGGAATTTGGGAAAGTCACAATTTGGAAGTGCAACTCACCTTTAAGGTTAGTTTTAGGCGTTGTGGACAAGAAAAGAACAGAACACATGCAATAACTGAAGTTCAGCTGATTAAGAATATTAAACGTACACATTTACCATAAGGCCAAGTGTACCGCAAAACTATAAACTACAAAATAAAATACAACAATGGATTCTTTTCACTTCTTGTGCACTTTATTTGTGATGATATAATTACAGTAAATCCATGAAACTCTCAAAGCACTTTGGTTCTGTCACTAGTTTTCACATGCAGCTTTTGTTTGGCCTCTGTCACATCTCTAGATCAGCCTTTCCAGACAGAAAAGTGTTCAACCAATCAGGATTATCTCAAAGTGTTAAATAGTGACTCCTCAGGCTCAAAACTGTTTTCTATTAAGATGAAGAGGACTAGAGAGTCCCGCTCTCCCCATCTCTGTGTCTATTGAGCGCCACCTCTACCAGCCCCATACCTACCAGATACACAAAATGCCTCCTGACATCTCTAGCTATCGCCAAGAGGATAATCTTACTAAACTGGAAAACCAAAAACTCAATAAGCATCAACCACTGGATCAACTCCCTCACTCATCACATCACCACACATCACCCATCATCTCAGGATGATAACGTACTGTCCTTCACGGAAACTTGGTCACCCTTCATCAAATACCTCAATATCACCATATACTAATCACTAGTGTTTGGAAGTCCCTGCACACACACACACACACACACACACACACACACACACACACACACACACACACACACACACACACACACACACACACACACACACACACACACACACACACACACACACACACACACACACACACACACAGAGAGAGAATCCTAACACCATCAGTATTATGCTGCTAACCCTGTCACCACAGTAACCAAAGCTCTTTACCAAACCAAAACTGAAAAAATGATTAAAACCAACAACAGACTCACACCTACTAGATCAGGCCATTCAGGAGGGGAGGCATGCGCTCTAGGGGTGACTCCCCTGGAGCGCAGACCTCCCACAGAACCCTGGATTTTTAATGCATAACATAAGCCACGCTCAACACACACATACAATACACACAAGATTAAACAAGGAAGTGGCCCTGCTGTTGCTGGAGGAGACCCCTCCAGCAACAGCAGGTGCATGTTTTTAATGCACTAGACGCGCACAAAAAATAAATAAATGAAAAAAAAAAAAATATATATATATATACAAATAATAATAATAATACAAAATAAGCAAATCAATATATTGTCACATAAACAGCCAAAATACGTTACTGGGATCTGTGGAGACAGCAAGTGGCAGCACTCATTTTATTTTTTTTGTTTTTTATTTTTTATTTTATTTTATTTTATTTATTTTTTTCGTTTTATTTACTGTTATTGTTCTGTTTTTCTATTTCTTCTTCAGACACATATGGTCACACATTTATACATATACACAAACACTCAAATACATTAACACCCACACTTACACATTAGAACCTACATATTTCCACGACAGTACTTGCTTGTTATTTAATTTTTTTATTAAGTATTTTGTTTTCTTTGTTTCATGCTCTGGATGCCTTAAAAATGCCCCCCCCCCACTCCCCCTTCCCTCCCCCACCAATATATTCTGCACTACTATGTTGTACATAGTAATTTATGTTTTTTATGGAATCTGTATCACATGGTGTTAAATAAAAAAAAAAAAAAAAAAAAAAGATGAAGAGGATTAGTTTATCATCTCCTTATATGGAGTGAAAGAATAATGACACATGAAGCGTCTCAGAGTGTCCAAAAAAGTGCTAAATAAAACTGATGCTTTTCTATTTTTATTATATTTATTTAGGAATTCACTAAAGACTCACATTTCCTCTGAGCTTCTGTAACATTTAGACTGTCCAACACGGACAAGAGAAAGACCATTCATGTTTAGAACTGACTGTGTACAATTTAATATTACTCTAAAAACAAAATGTGAATTGTTGTTGCTTGTTCTCTTACCTCCTTCACAGATGAAGCTTTTATTTAGTCCACAGTCGTCGCTCTCCCATCGGCCCTCGGCTCCCAGTGCTGCACATTTCTTTGTTTGCGGATTTACCCATGTGTTCCAGTTTCTGAAAGAGGAGTCGCTTCTGTCGGACCAGCCCCAGGTGTCCCGGAACAGACCGATCCAACACCTTGAAGGAAGCGTAAGGTTCTGTTTCTGAAACAGTTTGTACTGGTCCAGTCCACTCATCAGGTCAGTGTGGTGAGTTCTGCAGAACTGCTGAGCCTTTAACCAGGTTCTTGGGTTTGTGGCATCATTGATCATGACAGTAGTGTTGGAGGAGTCTGTGGAACAAGAGAAGACAATATTATTTTATTCATCTTTATTAAGGACTGAAAATGTTGAGGTCCAGAGATAAATGTTACAGTTGTTGGGTTTTTATTATTATTAAACTATTGAAATAGAAATAGGTTCAAAGTCTTCCTGTTCACATCTGCAGAACTGATAAACAGCAGATGAGTTCAGTTACAGCACTGGATTTGTGCTTTTAATGTCAAATTTGACTATTCAGAAATCTGGAATAATTGCAAGTAAAAAAAGCAAAACAATTTTTTTTCTGATCTCAGATGTTTCTAATGCAAGAAAATTACAGTTTGGAAACAAGGAAACATACAAAATGACCACTCAAACTGCCCCCTGTGCCTCATCTTACACTTTACAGGTAATAATATGAACTGTTTATAAATAAGATTAATAACACAGTAATATGAATATACTAAATAGATAAGCTTTTTTTTTTTTAGGTGTGTTTAAAATATTAAACTGTTTCCTCACCGTTGTAGCAGATAAAACAATGTGGTGTACGACAGTAATGATCATTCCACAGGCCATCACTGTCCATCATGCCACAGTTTTCAGTTCCTCTATCATCATTAGGTTCCCCTTGTTTCCACGGAGAGTCTCCTTCCTTGTATCTGACTGTGGGCTGAGACCAGTGCCATTTCCTGTCTGTGAGGTTGTCACTGGTTTGATGAAGTCCGATCCAGGCGTCCGTGCGTCCGTTTGCAGCAGCCTTCAGGTTCTTCAGGTCCTTCATGTCGTTCACTGAGGCCAGGTCTGTGTGCTGCTCTCTGCAGTGACTCTGAGCCTCAGACCACGACATCTTCTTATCTATAAAGTGGTACTGAAGGTCCAGAGACACTGACCAACACAGCTGACCTACAGGGAGAAAACACAAACTAAACATATCTTCAGGAGGTTATGGGATTTAGACATTTTAGAAGATTAGACTCTTCCTCTTCTAAGTTAAACAAGATATTTATGTTGCTTGAAGGAGAGAATTTTCCATTGGTCAGTTTACCTCAAGTCAAATTTAGAAAATGAATTATTATATCACAGGATTTAAAATCACTTCTGAACTTATACATCTTTGGGAAATATTTTGACAATTGCATTTACAGTATCTGTTTATATATGTTTTAAAATATGGGAAAATAAAATAACTTATAAGAAAGAATAACAAAAACTCACTCAGCAGCACAGAAAGCAGCAACGTTTGATCCATCTTCACCTGAAAAGAGAAAAGTCTTAAGTGTGAGGACCAAAGCAGGACTAAACTATGTCTGAACCAGGATTAAACTAGGACTTGACTAGGACTGGACTAGGACTGGACCAGGACTGGACCAGGTCTGAACGTTTGTGGCGTATCGCTCACCTTTTCCTCTTTCTGCCCTTGCGTGTGGATCATGATTAGTCTCTTCTTCTGGTTTTGAATATGAAAATGATTCTAAGCAACAGTTACAAAACAACACACCTCATTCAACAAAAATAAACTCATTTGGGTGAGGCTTCCAGGGAAGTATCGGTTATACATGTTCAAATGATGGGCAAGAGTATTCATCACATCTTTACATCTTGTTAAAAAGACCCTAAACTTAAAATCTTCAAAGTCATTCATGCAGAGAAACAAGTACAAAGTTCTGGAACGGCATCTCAGTCCCAAGACCTGAACATTATTAAATATTTGTTGTGTGACTTAAAACGGACTGTCCTTGTTTGAAACCCATCCAACCGGACTGAACTAGAGAAGATCTGCAAAGAAGAATGGTCCAAAATACCTTCCACCAGAATCCAGGCTCTAAACGTTCAGAAGAATGTAGATAGATAGATAACTTTATTTGCAGACTCAAGGTTCAGATCAACACAGACACAGACAAAAAAAACACAAGATAAAATAAACAACAGACAATGAAAAGCTCTAAACTTTCAAGAGGCAGTCAGACCAATGTTTCCAAAGCAGCGACGTGTAACGCACCTCGCTGCACACAACACTGGACAATAAAATAATCACAGTATTTTTGAATTGTTCAAGCGACATATAAACTTAAACATCACATTTCTCAAGACAGCTTGCAAAGTGTTTACTCGATTTGACACAAAGAGTTGACTTGTCCATCTGGGCTTTTTTAATAAAATTCTCAGCGCATCGTTGTAAGCAACTGTCAGAGCAGGAGGAGAATATCTGAGACAGTGTGGTCGCTTGTGCATATAACATCCTGCACTGACGGTACATGTCCTCGTCATCGGTCAAACGGTCAGTTATGATGTGACCGAGGTACTTGACAACATCACCCACAGTCAAGATGTTCCCTGAGAGCCTAAAGTGGAGTTGTATTTTACATCCTGAAGTTCCCCAAACTCAGAGCAAACATTTAACAACTGCTGGAGACCGGCTGAGCTCGGACTAAACACCACCAGGTCGTCCGCATACATTAAGTGATTAATTAAAGCACCACCGACCATACAGCCAGTTTTGCACTTATCCAGCTGCCTGGACAGGTCAAACATTCAAGTAGAGAATATTGAGTACATTTTTCCTTTGTGGTGCCTAGATTTATTTATTTATTTATTTTTGTTCCCTTTTTTCATGCAACAAAATATCACAATAATCTTGCAAATACAACAGTAATATATTCCATGAAAAGAAGAACAGGAGTAGGATGAAGAAAATAAAATGCACATGCCTAATTTGGTTTCAAAAATGATTGCACACTTTCAGTAAATGTTATAAACTTTATTTAACTTCTCAAATATTACTGGGTTTATTTCATATATGAAATTTTTCACTGACATTTCTTATCCAAACAACCAATGACTCAAAAATCATGAAACTTGATAGGGATGCCACCGGGTACGCTTCAAGGTAACACAAACATGATATATTTTGTTATCATTCTTAAGTCCATTAGAGAAGGGTTTTGGGCGGTTGTGGTGAACATTTTTGAAAGCGACGAGAGAGGAGACGTTTGTATTCTTTAATTATGTATTGCCATGACCATATATGGTATGAAGCACAAGACAATCAGTGAAAAAACAGAAAATACCAGAAAAGAGATACATGATTTTAACATAAGTAGGACCTTTTTTATAATTCATACCTTTCACCCACAAGCCGGAACAAACGGACAGGATTTGTCATGGTTTAGGTTAATTCTGTGTTAACCACTGTGTCTTTAGTTGTACTTCCTGTTCCTGGCTACCTGCCCCACCCTCATGTGTCGTTCGTCGTTAGTGTACTTTAAACTCTGTGCAGTCATTCACCCCTTGTTTTGTTATTGTCATTCTAATGTCAGCTTTAGTTCTTGTCCCAGAGCCCTGTTTTGTAACTTTGGTGTCATTTTCGCTCATGTTGTTTTGTATAATATTTGATTAAATCCTTCATTTTTGCAGTTCTGCGTTTTGGGTTTATTTTGTTTTGCCACGTGACAGTATTAACATTCACAAAAATATCTGATCATATTTATCAACTTATGAAAAAGAGGGATCTAGCACTGAAAAAATCGATCAAAACTAAATTACAGACAGATATACTGGTCTTTAAGGGACTAAGGAATAAAGTTGTTAGTGAATTAAGAAAAGCCAAGTCCTCTTATTTCATGCATCTGTTTGCTGAATCACATGGAAACAGTTCGCTTATATGGAAGCACATTAATAAATTGACCAATCGTAATTCGAGTCAGAGTAAATGCATAACTAAACTGGATGTAAATGGAACGATCAGTAGTAATTCTTTGGAAATTGGAAATGAATTTAACTTCTATTTTGTTGATTCAGTGGAGAAGCTTGCTGCAAGTTTCAATTCAATTTCTGTCGCATGTGATGATGTGAAAGATTCAAATTCATCTTTTAATGTCACACAAGCTGATCAAAAAAAGATCCATACAATTATTAATCAATTAAATAGTTCAAAAGCCAAAGACCTTTTTGATTTAGATACACATTTAATCAAAAAGTATAGTAACGAATTGTTAAAACCAGTATCACATTTAGTGAAATAATCAATCAAAAATAATGAATTTCCTGAAAATCTCAAAACGGCTGTTGTGACTCCAATTTTTAAATCAGGAGCTACAGATAAAGCTTGCAATTATCGACCAATCTCAATTTTACCTGTGATTTCCAAAGTGTTAGAAAAGCTTGTGGCTGAACAGTTGATGAACTACTTGGAGGAACATAGTCTACTAAACCCTAAACAATTTGGATTTCGACCAAAGCACTCCACTGAGATGGCTGTATGTCACTTTACAGAAACCATCAAAACTAGTTGGGATAAAGGTAAATGTGTGGGAGCAGTATTTCTCGATTTAAAAAAAGCTTTTGATACTGTAAACCACCAAGTACTCTTGAGAAAACTGAAACAACTAAACTTTTCCAAACAAGCTTTAAATTGGTTTAAATCATACCTTGCATCAAGACAACAGTGTGTAAAAATAAATGGTGTTAAATCTACCATCCAAAAATGTAATTTAGGTGTACCACAAGGGTCGATATTGGGCCCCTTGTTGTTCTGTCTATACATAAATGATTTACCGGAAATCTGCAAAAATACCAGCTGCCAATTGTATGCAGATGACACAATCATTTATGTAGCTGCAGATTCCCCTAAACAGGCTTCAGACTTGTTGAACAGACAGCTTGTCAGCACATCTCAGTGGCTGCGGGACAACTGTCTGACCTTAAATTATACTAAAACTGTTGCCATGTGTTTCTCTCTAAAGAGAAATTCACCAAATGATCTAAACATTAATATTGACAAAAATAAAATCGAGCAGGTTGATGAGTTTAAGTATTTGGGGGTTATTATAGATTCTAAACTGAAGTTTGATGCCCATGTCAGAAAAATGTCTAAGACCATCAAGACAAATTTAAATTGTTTCCGTATAATTAGGTCTTGTGTATCAACTCAGGCGGCACGAGTATATCTACATGCTATGATTTTATCTCATATGTCGTATTGTTCAATCGTTTGGGGCCAGGCCTCACAATCTGTCCTAAAGCCTTTAACATCACTCTACAAGCAAACACTTAAAGTGTTTGATCAAAAACCAATGAAGTGGCATCACTGCACTATCATTCAAAAATATAAAATGATGACATTCGATAGCTTCGTCAGTTTCTCTTTTATAAAAAATATATTCAAGTGTCTTAATGGTCTTGCTCCGTCTGTAATGTGTCAGTTAGTACAAAAATACACTAATCAAGGAGTGAGCACCAGAGCTGGAGTCAGCGGGAACTGCAGAGTGAAGTTTTGTAAAACTGCTCTGGGTCAGTCTGCGTTCTCAGTAAAAGGGACACAGTTATGGAACTCTTTGCCACTGGAGCTAAAGTCCCAAATGGACCTGAGACTTTTCTCACAAAAGCTGAAGCTGTGGCTAAAGAACAAACAAAAGTGTGAGCACTGAACAGTTTGGCTGGACTTGGGATGGGAAGTGGTCAGATATGTCTTCTCCTCTTTCTTTTTATTGTTGTATTGTGTGATGCCTTTTACTGATTTTTCATCTTTCTGTTCTGTTTTAAACCCCTTTGAAAAGCCTAACCAGGGACGGGGGCTGCAAATTAGCCTATGGCTAGACGCCTTATGTACATAACATCGGCCACTGAGCTGGCAATGTTTTCTTGTACTGTCCCTGTCAAATAAACAAATAAATAAAAAAATAAAAATAAAAAACAAATACAACAATAGTTCAAACTTTATGCACACAGGGACAGAGTAACCAACCGAATCAAAGGACCAGAAGCACAAATCCATCTGTATTAACCTGTTAACTCCTGTGTGGGAGGACTTGGTCAGGGCCAAAGGCAAAGGACAATGCCTCACATCTACAAACAACCCCTCCATTCCCGTGGCTCAGACCTCCTGGGGCCGTCAGCAAACCAGCATGTAACCTCACACGCCATATTACAGGCCTATATGTTAGTTCACATGAAACATAGATAAAACACAATGTAATCAAAGTTCAGTCAAATGATCAAAACAACATTTTCTTAACATTTCCCTGATATTTATCATTTTAATAAATCAAACAATTTAAGTTCAATATGGAAAACAAATGATGGAACATGAATTACTCAAAATGAAAACTAACTTGTGGCTAACTTGTTGTGACTCAACTTTGAGACACGGAAGCGAGACGCCGAACACACTGATGCATCAAAGCCTCAAACCAATACCAACCACCACACCAGGAAACCTACGCAGACAGGGGAGAACAAGCAAACTCCACT